TTTAGTTGGCCGATTAATTTCTTTCTATTTTTAAGTAGAGACGGGGTCTCGCTCTTGCTCAGGCTGGTTTCGAATTCCTGAGCTCAAACAATCTGCCGGCCTCGGCCTCCCAGAGTGCTAGGATTACAGGCGTGAGCCACCTCGCCCCTGTCTGCGGCCGCCCCGCCCTGACCGCACCGGATCCGCCCTCGGAAGACAAATTTTTTAAATGTCCCCATGCTACTGGGTCCAGTTCTTATCCTCCCACTCTGTCTTAAATCCACTCCAATCAAGATCTCAGCCTCTCTACCAAAACTGCCCTTAGCAATTAGAAAGTCTCTGTCAATGGGGATAAGCCCTAAAGTCCATTATCAGCCTCTTCCTTCTATCAGCAAGTTTTGACATAGCTGGTCACTCCCTCCTCCTTCGTGAGAAAGTGCAGTGAATGAAGAACAATGACCTGAAGGTCTGAAAACATCAGCAGTAAGGGGGAGTAAGGACTGACAACATCTCATGTCCTCAGAGGAGCATGGGGTTTTGAAAGACTTCAAAGAAGAAGCAGTTTAAAGCAGGTGTGGGGAGTCAGGAAGACCACTACTACACAGTTCATGCCCTGAAGTAAATGACATATGGGAAGACACCCTGGTTTAAAAGTGAGCGAATCAGCCAGGTGCGGGTGGCTCACGCCTGTAATCCTAGCACTCTGGGAGGCCAAGGCGGGCGGACTGTTTGAGCTCAGGAGTTCGAAACCAGCCTGAGCAAGAGCGAGACCCCGTCTCTACTAAAAATAGAAAGAAATTAATTGGACAACTAAAACTATATAGAAAAAATTAGCCGGGCATGGTGGCGCATGCCTGTAGTCCCAGCTACTCGGGAGGCTGAGGCAGGAGGATCGCTTGAGCCCAGGAGTTTGAGGTTGCTATGAGCTAGGCTGACGCCACGGCACTCACTCTAGCCCGGGCAAAAGAGTGAGACTCTGTCTCAAAAAAAAAAAAAATGAGTGAATCCAACCAGCTGAAATCAGGAGTAAAAATGAAAACACACAAGGGGCACTCAAATTAGTAACATGAGTATCTAGAGATTATTCTTCTCCAAAACAGGCACAGGACAAATAATTACAGATGGTAATCAGTAAACAGTTTTGAAAAGATAATTACAAAGTGAATTTTCACCAGTAGTCAACATACCTAGATTTTCTCGAAGCAGCCAAGTAAGTACAGAATCTCTGTAAGGAATAAAGTCAGTTTTCTTCTTCTTTTTACTCTATTAAAGAGAAAGGAATGGCCTTTAGAAGTGTTAGGGGGGAAAATTCACATGAAAGGCAAACCAGTCTAAAATTCCCAAAAAAATAAATTACAGTAGAACCCCATCACTATTGCAAATTTATCATTCACAATTTCAATTCTTCACAATACTCAAAGCTCATGCAATAAAGTATTTTTTTTTTACATTTTGAAAAATTTATAACACACAACAGTTGAGAGAGTAGTATAATGAGCTACCATATACCCATCATGCAGCTTCAACCAATCATCCTCATTATTGCCCAAACACTTTTCTATTCTATTTTTTTTTTTCCTGAATCTTTCTTTTTTTGAGATATGGTCTTGCTGTACTGGCCAGGCTGGAATGAAGTGGCATAATCATAGCTCACTGCAACCTCAAACTCCTGGGCTCAAGTCATCCTCCTACTCGGGCCTCCCAAAGTGCTGGCATTAGAGGCATGAGACACCACACCAGGCCCTGAATCATTTGAGTAAGTTGCAGACATCATGTCCATTTACCCCAAACATTTACCCTAAACATTTCAGCAGATAAGGACGTTCTCTTACACAGGAAACCATGACTAAATTCGAGAAATTTAACATGAATGCAATACTATTATCTAATATCCTGTCCATATCACATTTTTTAAAATAGCTGTGTTTTAAAACAAATCCAACACTTCACCAATAAATATTTTAGGTACATATCTCTAACAGAGAAAAAGAAAATCATGTTTTTAAAAAACATAATGACAAGACCATTACCACACTTACCAAAATTAAAAATAACTCCTTAATATCATCTAATACTCAATCCTCAATTATTATTTTTGCAGAGGGGCAAATATGAATCCTGTGCATTCCAGGTTGGATACATAGGAGCAAGTCATTTAGTTAATGAATTTACATGGCCAACCACCAAATCATCAAGAGGATTTTTGCATATCTAGTAACTTTTGTAAAGTAATGCTCACTTGGTTTCTTCAAAAGGAAATTATGACCAAAAAAACCATTAGAGCAAGAACTAAAACTGAAAAGATCTAAGAAAGTGATATGATTTGCTAATTTAGAAATTTGTAAAGATTGCAAGATAAATTTTCTGTTAAATCCACTTATAATGTTCTCTTCATGACCCTTCTCATTACGACAGGATAAAGCAAAAAGCACCAATGAAAAGACAATGCATGGCTCACGCCTGTAATCCTAGCACTCTGGGAGGCCGAGGCAGGTGGATCTCTCAAGGTCAGGAGTTCGAGCCCAGCCTGAGCAAGAGCAAGACCCGATCTCTACTAAAAAACAGAAAGAAATGATCTGGACAACTAAAAATATATATAAAAATTAGCCGGGCATGGTGGCACATGCCTGTAGCCCAGCTACTTGGGAGGCTGAGGCAGGAGGATCGCTTGAGCCCAGGAGTTTGAGGTTGCTGTGAGCTAGACTGACGCCACGGCACTCTAGCCTGGGCAACAGAGCAAGACTTGGCTCAAAAAAAAAAGGAAGCTACTAAGGCAAAAGCCAGGGTTTACTGATAAACACCACCCCAGCAATCCACAGTTTTACAATCTGTTCCTGGTATAACCCAAGGTTAAACTAAGGATGATTTGTACAAGCACAGGTATTATGAAAAAGAGTACTAAGTGGCCGACCTCTGGTTTGTTGAGGAGGAAAGGGAGTAGACAAGTGGTATTTTAATTCCATCTCTTATCAAAAAGGTCCATGCCTTCCCACTCTACCCAAAGATGCACATTCCACCAATTAGAAAGTCATTTCCAATAGCAGGTTCAATTTTAAACTGCATAGACCTCTAGAGAGAATTAAGCCTTTTCAGTCATTCACACATTAGTGGAACAAACTTTCATTCCACTACAAATCCTCCAGGCCTAAGACCTCAGTTTATCTTCTTGTAGTTCCCAAACATACTACACTTTGCCCACGGGTAGTACCAAAATGCTGTAAAATTTAAAGTATGCAGTTACAACAGCTACAAACAGTAAAGTAAAAATAAGCAGTATCAGTTTGTCAAAAATGGTCTACTTTCATTTCTGCCAATTAGACTAAATTAACACATTAACTGCCATGTGAGTTGCATTTAATTCACACTAGTTTTGAGCCTGGGGCCTCATGAAGCATATATAACTCACACATCTCTTTACCTTGGGAGCTATATGGTGTGCAGGCAACTCATGCTGCCATTCTGTAGCATTCATGTTACCTGACGGGTGGCCCCCTGGGCAAAACCCTGCAGTTGTGAAAATCTTACTTGTTGATGTTCTTATTGTTACAATTAATATTGACAATTTAATTCTAAAAACATGGATTAAATGAATAGAAGTCAATAAATTTCATTTTTCTATTTATATTTACCATTAAATTACACCTAAGCCTGACAAGTCAAGAAAAACACTTTACCCTTATGAACTATTTTTCAAGTTTTCATGTTACTTTTTACATTACTAATTTTCAAGTTTTTATATTACTTTTTTATTGAAAAAAACACAGAAACAATAAAAAAGTAACAAATTTTTCATTAAATTAGAAAGGATAATTTTGTTTTCAAAGTTTTCGTTCTATTTTCGTAATAAAACACTGTGGCCCCCAGGGAGAAAATTTTTTTTTCTAGTGTGGCAGTCAATGTGTTAAGAAGAAATAGCTAGATTAAGGAGCATAAATAGAATTCAATCCTTTCCATTCAAAAATAGCCCCAAATTTTAGCCATTTCTTTTCTATTTGCTCTTATTGAATTCATCTTATCTCTTCTCACATCTGTACATTTTTTGAAAATAAGTGCTTCAGGAGTAACATAAAAAGCATTACTTGGATCATTAACCTCTCTGGAAAAGAAATACTGTTAAGTGTGGATGGTAATAAGCCTGATTCTCTCCCCAGTGGAAATAACAACACATCTATTTCACCAAAAATTATGGTTGTTATACAAAAACTAACACAGATGCAAAGTATTAAACTGGATTTTAAACTGATTATAAAAAATCATTTGTGAATTACTGTGACACAGAGCAGCGTGGAACATACACAGAGAAATACTTTGTGAACATCTCCTGTGTTGGATATAAATGTTAATAGATGAGCAAACAGACAGGACAAGTTAGAATGACAACTAACTTTTTAACAGTCTTCATGGTTCTGGGACTGAAATTAGATATGTGAATGTTCACACACATACAATCAAATAGCATGTAGATTTTGAATCTAAAGCACTTTCTCAGACAAACATAGAAAAACAGAAAAAGAACATTACTTTTTATTATTTTTATGAAGTAGAGAGAATGAACAATCTATATATTTGAAAATAGTATAAAATATTTCAATGTAAATACTGCCTCTATTCCCAATTTTACTCCTTCATAATAAATTGTTAGGTGTTCTAAATATTATTTATGCAAAAGTATGCCAGTATATTTTAGAGTATTTGCATGGAAATATAAGGAAGAGAAAAATCTATGGAATCTGGGTAAAAATCTATAATATGTTTTTGAGATGCAGTTAAAGATTAACTTGATTCTATAGCCTTTACTTTATGTATAACCAAAGAGAAGAAAAAAAAATTTTTAATGTTTTAGATTTTCCATAAACTTTCACAGTAGGAAACAAGTAAGATAATACAAAGAGGTTTTAGAAATATATACTAGTAATTTCAAGAAGCCAGCTATGTTTTAGAATGGTACCCTTAAGAAATTTAATTTATTGTGTTTTCAAATGGTTTATGGAACTGTCAAGAGAGTTCCATAGATTACTAGAAGAAACAGTATAAGAAAATACAATGTAAAAGCATCCTCAAATTTATCTTGTTGCTTTATTCTTAATTCCTTCTCCAAAGCATATCATCTTCTCTAAATTAATTTTGGTGTTAAGTCTCATGATTCATGGGTACCCTAAACAGCCATTCTAAATTCCAGAACCAGAAAACAAATGACAGAAAGTTTTTTGAAGGTTCCATTCATACTTATGCCTCCACATATCCTGCTGAGGATTTAAAACTGTAATAGTCGATTTCTATAGCTAGTTCATCTCTACCAGTTTCCACCATACCTTGCTGGTGCAGTTATCCTACAGATGAAAGCATTTAAAGGAAAGAACACAAGATAAGCCTCCAAACAGAAAATCATATTTTGTTTAAATTTTAAGTCATAGAGTATGACTTCTCAGAGATGAACAAGAGAGCATTTCATTCTTTTCAGAAACTTAAGTGAGGTATTACACTAAATTAGAGCACACAATGACTATACTTCCTCAGCTTCTAACATAAATAATTAAGTTCCTTATACAAAAATTGTTTTATCTTTAGTGTTCCACTGTTAAGGAATAGGAAAAAATGAAACTATTTGAAAAAAAATATTGTTGGTCCCCAAATCAATAATATTCACCAAAGCCAAATTGCTCTAAATACTCCAACAAATACTATACCCAAGTTAGAAAAGATTGCATAGGAAAAGAATATTTTTGTGAGAGATATGAAATAAGGGAGCTCCAGTGGCACAATCAGTGCACAGTACTTATATGAAATAAGGCCAATAAACAATTATAAAATATCATCAAGTATATTTACTCAGCAGACAAATTTGTCCTCATACTGAAGTATAAAACTTACCACCTCTGCCAAGGCTGAAATGACTTTGCCCAAAGTTGTAAGAGACTTATTAATATTTGCTCCTTCCTAAAAATAAATAACAAATATGAATGAATCGTGATGAATTTCTACTACTGACATATCATATACAATATAAAATGCATTTGCCATATGCTAGCACATTTGTTTATTTATGATCACAAGTTCTAAAAACCTCCTTTAGTCCTCAATCTTTCCTCTTCACCTGATAACATGTTTGGACCACATCCTAACAGCCGTAAAGTATCTTCACGACGTTCGTGCTCCAAAACCTTATAGATGCAGCTTTCTTCCCACAACTCACCGACATGCAATTTCTGCTCTTGTGAAGCAATATCTCTGTCAAAGTCCATGCTTGTTCTAACATCCGGATATTGTATATCCTATTGCCATTACTGTCTCTTACTTCCATCCTGACAAATTCTGCCTCTTCCTCAGAAATGCAATTCAACTCTCACCTTACCATGATGTCCTCCCCAACTATTCTGTTATATAACTCATCCTTCCATTGAAGTTATAGATCAGGAATTGGTAAAATTTTTCTATAAAGGGTCAGATAAAAATAATTTTAGGTTTTGTGGGCCATATGGTCTCTGTCTCAACTCTAACACTTGAGTGCCAAAGTAGCCACAGATGATACATAAAAGAATGGATGCAGAGGTACTTCAATAAAACTTTATTTATAAAAATAGGCAGTGGGCTGGATTTGGCCCACCGGCCATAGTTTGCTGACCCATATTACAGAACATTTATTGACTAGGCCATTTACTTGGTAAAATAAATACCTTTAATCGAGTCCCTTTGGCACCAGTTGAATCAGCTCGTTCACTTCCTGCTAGATCCACCAAGCTGATTTTACTGACCTGATAAAGAATAACATGGGGGCAATTCCAAAATAAGCAAAGCAAAGCAGAAGCAGGAAACATTTACAGGCAGAAAATTTTTTAAAAGATTAAAGTATGGACCCTGTCTCTACAAAAAAATTTAAAAATTAGCCAGGTATGGTGGCACACACCTGCAGTCCTAGCTGCTGGGGAGGCTAAGGTGGAAGGATTGCCTGAGCCCAGGAGTTGGAGATTGCAGTGAGTTATGTTCCCACCACTGCACTCCAGCTTGGGTGACAGAGCAAGACCCTGTCTCTTTAAAAAAAAAAAAAAAAAAAGATTAAGGTATGGCAAAGACAAAATATTAGAGCTTTTAAAAAAATAAAATAGAAATATTAGAGTTCTTATTAAATATGGCACAAGAAGATAAAGACAACAAATATCATAGTCAGTTTAAAGAGCATGCACAGTGGACATGGTGGTGCACGCCTGTACTCCCAGCTACTTGAGAGATTGAGGTGGGAAGATTGCTTGAGCCCAGGAGTTTGAGGCTATAGTGCATTATGATCACGCCTGTGAACAGCTAATGCATGCCAGCCTGGGCAACAGTGTGACACCCAGTATCTAAAAAAAATTAAAAACAAAAACAGCACAAGCAAAATTCATAGCAATTACCAGGGTTCAAAAGAAGTAACTCTAGGATTAACATGACATATTTTACTATAGTCTATCATAAAAATATGAGACATGACAGTGATTCCTTTTATTAAAAATATATAAAACTCAACAATCCATTAAATGGCATACTAAAAATGATGCTTTAAGCAGCTGGAACTCTCACATACTGCTGGTAGGAATGTAAAATGGCACAATTACTTTGGAAAACAATTTGGCATTTCTTTTTTTTTTTTTTTTTGAGACAGAGTCTCACTGTGTTGCGCGGGCTAGAGTGCCACAGCCTCATCCTAGCTCACAGCAACCTCAAACTCCTGGGCTCAAGCGATCCTCCTGCCTCAGCCTCCCGAGTAGCTGGGACTACAGGCATGCGCCACCATGCCCGGCTAATTTTTTCTATATATTTTTAGTTGTCCAATTAATTTCTTTCTATTTTTAGTAGAGACGGGGTCTCGCTCTTGCTCAGGCTGGTCTCGAACTCCTGAGCTCAAACAATCCGCCCGCCTCGGCCTCCCAGAGGCAAAGGATCTTTTATAACTGCTAGTACAATAAATCTAACTTCAAATTTCAAAAATCTAGGTGAAAGCTACTTAGGAATGTGTTTAGAGTAGTATTCGACATATATTTTTTATTATTGACAATAATAATAAAGTTGACATGTATTGAGTGGCTATTCTGTGCCAGACATTATTATATGCACTTAACCTATATTAATACTTAATCCTTTTAACAACCCTATGAGGCTGTTACAGATGGGGAAACTGAGGCATAAGAGGTTAAGTAATTTGTCCAAGGTAATACCTGAGAAGTGGCAGAACCAGGATTCAAAGCAAGCAGTCTAATTCCAAAGTCTACAATATTTAACTACTACAGAAAATGAGAAATTAATAAGCAAAGGTATTTGAAGAACATGAGAACCTGTTGTGGAGTTATTTTCCAGGAATAAAACATAACATATCTGCCTCATCACTTGCTTAGACATTTAATCCCATAGTAACATTATCAGAGCTCAAAAAAAGAAAACAGGAATACCCATACCAAAGAAGGCTAAAAATTGAAAGGTTCTAGTCAAGGAGGAAGGACTTTCTTCCCACAAAACTGCTTAACTATCTTGTATAAAGTAGTTTTTGCAACTCAAAGTTCTTCTTCTTTTTTTTTTTTAACTTTTTTTATTTTTTAGAGACAGGGTCTCGCTCTTCACCCAGGCTGGAGTGCAATGGTGTGATCATAGCTCACTAAAGCCTCGAACTCCTGGGCTCAAGAGATGCTCCCACCTCAGCCTCCAAGTAGCTGGGACCACAGGCACACACTACCACACCCGGCTAAGTTTTCTTACTTAGTAGAGACGGGGCCTCACTACGTTTCCCAGGCTGGTCTCAAACTCCTGACCTCAGCAATCATCCTGTCTCAGCCTCCCAAGGTGGTGAAATTACAGGCATGAGCCACCTTACCCAGACTATTTTTTAACTCTATCTTCTTACAATTTCACTTAAGAACCCATGCTGAAAACTGGTGTAGGGTGGAAGAAAAATGTTAAGCAGAAGCTACAGAACACCCCCATTAAGTAAAAGAGTAACCTTCCTTCCACAAAATGTAGAGGGTAGCGAAAGGGATTTCTCAAAATCCCCATCCTTCACAACTCAAGCCCGGAGACTGAAGTTCTCCTACCTTCTCAGTGGAAAGGTTGGTCTCAGCATCATGTTTCTTCTGGGTGAAAACAATGGTAAACACAGCATGGGAACGGCTACTTGTTTCATTCATGTTGGTAGCTGCCACTGTCCTAAATAAACAGAAATGACAGTGTGACAGTAGAATTCTTAGATGGGAGTCAAAATGAATGGACAGCAGATTCCACATTATAAGCATAATAATCACAAGCAATAGTTTTAAACTTATTCACAGATTACAAGATTGTCATTTACACAATTGCTCTCAATAATGCCTTACTTGTGAGCCCCTCTAGTTACCTTCCAACTCCAAAGGCACCCTATCAGAATCACTTTTCATATTCCAGCTATTCCTTTAGAAACCACTGATGCATGTAATTTTTATTCTTTACTGGTGTTTATTTATACCGGAATCAATTACTACAATAGCCACTTATATACATATAAATATATATACATTATATATATACTTGTATCTATATTTTACCATGACTTGATCAAAACTGAAGAATAAAACTTACCCCAAGTTCTAACATGTTTCAGCAATGCATTGTTTTGATGAGAAGAAAGATACCTAATATGCTGAAGCCCTCACTTCTGCAGCACAGCCAAAGGGTCAGAGGACTCCGCAATTAAAGCAACCTTCATAGCTATAAATATGGCCTCAAATCCTTAACCAGGAACAAAGGGCCTCAAAATGTGCCAGAGACCTCAGTCATTAGTCTACTTCCTACCATACCTGGCCTTGTTCCCAGCATCCATGAGGTCAGCGATGTCTGTGTAGGAAGTGACTGCCAACTTTGATAGATCCTCCACATAGGGCCCAAGAAGTGGGTGTTCACGTACACGCAAATTACCCTTGTTTTTTGGATTCAGCAAATCTCGTACCCTCTCACAGTAAATTTCCATGTAGCTCACCTAGGAACAAATTAGTGAAGTAAGTTAGAGGACTAGAAAAAGAAATCATATACAGTAAAATGATTTCTTATTAAAAGCTCTATGATTAGGGGTGTGTGAGTGCACGCACGCACAGTAAAAAAAAAAGCTCTATGATTAGAGATCAGCAACCTTTACAAAGTGAAATGGCATGGTTCTATAGACTCTTTTATTCTATTAACATTATGCATGGACTCCACACTGCACATGTTACAACCAGCCCTCTGGCTTTCTCAGGATGGAAGAGGTAAGCGGTTTTATCTCTGGCACATATTGGCTGCTGCCTATCTGAGGAAAAAAACATTTTAGTAGCAATCAGTTATCAATATGTTTTTAAATGTACATTGTCGTCAGTAATTGGGATTTACACTGACATTACTCCAAGAGCTTGAAAATAAGACTTCTATTAAAAGTTAAAACCAAGGTATGATATCAATATTCCAGAGCAGGGCAGAAAAAAAAAGAGACCAGTGACTCTAAGTCTTTAAGACTGATCACATTGTTACCAACTATGGACAATATATCCACTAGAAGGGGTGAGGGTTGATCATCATGGAAGCTGAGGGGTGACGGGACCTATCCAAGATTTGTGGGGGAGGAGGAAGCTTCAGACTATATACACTTCATGATCTCCTACCCCATCAACAGGACCATTCCCATCACAGCAATGAATGCATGAGGCTATCATTTCTTAACCTGAGGCAATGAAACATTTATCAAATCAACTCCCCTCCCTCTAATTCTGTGCTCACCAAACAACAATAGGGTTCCAACACAGGTCTGTCCACAAAAAGATAATACACTAGTCCTGCAAATGTTGAGTGTTCTGGCCTAGGTAATAGTTACTTCTCTTGAGAAAATAACAAACCAACATGTTGATTTTATAACATCAGCCAAATGAGCTTTACTCAAGTCTGACTTTGAAGGATGGTTCTGTTCCTGATGTATCTACAAAATCAGACTTCTCAGCAAACAAGGCTCTGAGTTGGGGTAAATTGACCACAACGGGCTACATTATGAGGTCTCCCAGGAATCAGATCCTTCTGCATCACTGAGCTATTCAAACATACAGTGTAACTCCTGCATTTCCCAACTGTAAATTTCTACAGATAAATTTTCAGAGTATCTGAAATAGAACCTTATCTCCATTTCTACTTTTTTTTTTTCATTCAGTCTCTGATCTGACTGCATTTTTATATTGTATTTTAAAATCAGTTAAAAAGGTTGAGATCCCTGAAATAGATCTATTATGAGAGTAAACCAACAGGAGAACAAATATCCTTTCTGACAGCAAGTTATCCTAGAAAGTGAGATGTACTTTAATCATTTTTGTGTACTTAAACTTGTACATAAAATCCTGAATCCCAGGAAGACAGTACATCTTTTGGCACTTTTCAGACAGGTCTGAGACTAAGAGGACCCAAATAATCTGGGTAAAGGTCATGCGCTCCATTCCTTATTCTCTGGTATGTGAATCCATCCAAAGCCATCACTATTTCTTTTATTTCTACACCAACCACACCAGACCCAACTTGGCAGAATCAATTTACTGCACACTGTTCTGTTCCAGGCACTGTTCTGGACACTTGGCATACGTCGTTAAATAAAACAGACAAAGAGCCCTGCCCTAGTAAGCTTATATCTAGCACAGGAGACTGAAAATGAACAACAAACATAAAAAATAGGTAACTTAGCATGTTAGAACTTGAGTACTGTGGAAAACAGAAATATAGCAGGGCAAGGGACATAAGGAGTGTGGGGGTAGAGAGCAAGTTGTACTATTAAAAAAGGTGGTCAAGGTAAACCTCATTGAGAGGGGGAGATTTGAGCAGACTTGAAGGAGGAGAGAAACTTAGATATTTGGGGGAAGAACATTTCAGGCAGAAGGAAAAAAGTAAATGTAAAGCCTCTGAGGCCAGAACATTTCTGGTGTACTCTAGAAAGAGCAAAAAAGCCAGTGTGGTGGAGCAGAGTAAATAGCAAGAGAAGTGGGAGAGGCAGTTAGAGAGTCCAGCAAATGTGGCAAGGAACTGTAGCGTCCACTAGAGATCCATGCTCCATTCCAAGTAAGCCCATGAACTCTGACTAATGTGAAAGAAAATGGCATCTTCTTTTATTATCTATAAGCTCAAAAATTCTATAACCTGATTCAAAAAACAATAGTTAGAAGATGAGACAATCTATTTGGAAAATTCATTTTAACATAAAATATTTTTAGAGCAGCACATTCCTCTTTTGGTGTATGATAGTCACAAGACAGAATTTTAAAATTTATAAATCTGTGCAACACTTTATAGGTAAAGAAAAAAAAAAAGCAACCTAAGTGGATCAACTAGGAATTGTGTAAGTCCTATAGAAAATCAAAACACACACCAAAAAAAACCACCAAAAAACAAAAAACTAGAGTTTACTTAAAAAGCAGCCTAATTTTTCAGAACAACAGACTCATGTTAATGGAACTCTTTAATAATTTCAGTTACTATGAATGAAACTGAATACAGAAAAAGGGCCTGTGTGTGTGTGTTTGAAACAACACCTTCATAAAGCACACACAAAAAGAAGGGAATGCTTATCAAACTAATGCATATAAAGTAATTCCATAAACCTTTTCATGAAAGAGCCAGGGTGAACACTGGATACAGAATAATTTCTCCAAGTTTGTAAGCAATTATAAAGGGGGGGAGATTTGATTACATATATTTTTTAAAACATAGGCCTGACAAAAATTATTATTAACAATATTATAGGTGATGAGTTCACACAAATGAATAACAAAAACACTGCAATCCCAAAATGTAAACAGGCACATGTATAATTTATAAGATGTTCAACCACACTAATAATCAAAGAAATTCAAATTTAAATGAGAGAAATTTTGCGTTATCGAATCAACAAAGATTAAAAAATGAAAATACTAAATGTAAGCACCCACATAATGGGTGCTTATGCTCTCCTGGTAGAATTGAAAATTGGTTACAACCTTTCTTTCTAAAAGGCCATTTGGCAATTCAAATATATTATTTAACAATCAAGATATATATATAAAGGCAATAAATGAAAATAAATACATAGACTTATGAACACAGATTTAATTACAACATTATTCATTATAACAAAAACTTAGAAATAGCCTAAAAGTACAAAATTGAGGGAATGGTTAAGTGATCTGTGGCACAGTCGTAATTTGGAGCCATTTAAAAGTAATATTTGAGGAGCCTCTGATTTCAACTCATGGCTGTACTCACCTCTACAGAGTAGGACATTTCTTCATTACAGTTATCATTGATTTTCTCAAATAGTTCTTCACATAACTAGGGAAGCAAAGCGAGAGAGGCATGAATAGCACAAGTAAGAGGAGTCCTAAGTTACCTATGACTGCAAAATGAATTTGTGAGGCCCTCTTTCTCTTTCTCTCTCAAAATACGAATGTCATAAACACCAAGGTATGATTAATGCTTTGAATAAAATACAGTCGTGCACTGCATAATGACGTTTCAGTCACTGACAGACCACATATATGACAATGGTCCCATAGGATTATAATGGAGCTGAAAAATTCCTACTGCCTATTGATGTCTTAATGATTCCAATCCTATGTAGGCCTAAGCTAATGTATATGTTTGTCTTAGTTTTTACCAAAAAAGTTTAAAAGGTAAAAAAAAAATCTAATTTAAAAATAGAAAAAAGCTTATAGAATAAGGATACAAAGAAAGAAAATAATATTTTTGTACAACTGTACAATGTGTTTATGTTTTAAACTATTATTACAAAAGAGTCAAAAAGTTAAAAAAAATTTAAAAGTTTATAAAGTAGAGTTACAGTAAGCTAAGGTTAATTTATTATTGAAGAAAGAAAAGTTTTTTAGTAAATTTGGTATAGCCTAAGTGTACAGTGTTTATAAAGTCTGCAGTAGTGCACGATAACGTCCTAGGCCTTCACCTGCATTCACCACTCACTCACTGACTCACCTAGAGCAACTTCCAGTCTCGCAAGTTCCAGTCATGGTTAAGTGCCCTATACAGGAGTCCCATTTTTTATCTTTTATACCATATTTTTACTGTACTTTTCTAAGTTTAGGTGTGTTTAGATATATAAATACTTTCCATTGTGTTACAATTGCCTACAGTACTCGGTACAGTAGTGTCTTGTGCAGGTTTGAAGCCTAGGAGCAACAGGCTAAACCACATAGCCTAGGTGTGTAGAAGGCTGTACCATCCAGGTTTGTGTAAGTGCACTACGATGCTTGTGTAAGTATACTATCATGTTCGCATAATGACAGAATTGCCTAACGACTCATGACATGTTTTTCAGAATGTATCCCCGTTGTTAAGCAAGGCATGACTGTGAAAGTAAAACTTTAAATACACTCTTCTCATCTAATCTTTATTCTCCCTCAACAATAGTGCCTCAATATTACTTCCTTAGAAGGAAAGCCATGTTTAGGGGAAGAGGAGGAATACACAGGGAAGTTATGTCATAGGCACATTTAATTTATGTGAATTCAATTCTCCTCCTACTATACTAGAGTAATTGTGACTCTATAATCAGTATTATTGTAATAGTAAAGCTGCCATTAAATTATATTTTGCACACGTTACTTACGTTATATAAAATTCATTATATATTATCGGTTACAATATGCATTATAAATTTCATCACACATAGAATTTATACTATTAGGAGGAGGTAAAGGAAGGTATTTTCAGAAATAATTATGACTAAAATTTTTCCTTTACCATTGTCTTAAGACTGCCCCCTTACATGAGATGCTACTCTACTACACAATAACATTTTTAACAGAAAACATTAATTTTTCTAGATCGGGAAAATCATAAACTTTGTCCTCCTTACCCCTTGAATTTCTTATTCAAAATATGTGATTTTTAACAAAAACAATTAATAAAAATCCTACTAAGTTTTCACTCACTATATCTTCAGTATTAAGGCGATCATACATTATAACGACAATCATACATTAAGGCAATATACATTCTGAAAATGAACTATATGTTCATGATTCTCTATAAGTTGAAATAGAACTTAAAATTTACTACACCTAGCAATTTCTAAAAATCATCTTTTTCAAAAACAACTGCTTTTGCTTTAAAATAAAGTACTTCAAAATTCTACCAGAAAAGAGGTATGTATGTAATTATATAAGAACTCCAATAATAAACAAATTAAAGGGAAAGGAAGGAGAAACTAAGTGTGGTAACAAGATAAAACAAATATGGCCATTTAGCATAACTTGCTATACTCTACAAACAATCATTTCATTTCCGAAGAAGTATTACATAGTGATAAAAGCAAAGACTCCAGAACTACCTTGCCTGCATTTGGATCCTGGCCCTGCCACTTACTTAGGCAAGTGAAATGACCTCTCTGTGCCTCAGTTTCCTTGTCTGTAAAATGGTCACATGCAGAGGATCAGATGAGCCAATATTTCTGAAGACCTTAGACCTGTGCTTGGCACGCAGTGCTGCATGTTTTCTCTAATTAGTATAATCATTGATATTACTACATACAAAGAAGGACAATTCCCAAACACATGCCTTTTTTTTTCTTAGACAGGGTTTTACACTGTTGCCCAGGCTAGAGTGTAGTGGCATCATCACAGTTCACTGCAACCTCAAATTCCCGGCTCAAGCAATCCTTCTACCTCAGCCTCCGGAGTAGCTGAGACTACAAGCGTACGCCACCACAGCCAGCTAATTTTTCTATTTTTTTGTAGAGATGGAGCCTCGCTGTGTTGCTCAGTCTGGTCTCAAACTCCTGGCCTTAAGTGATCCTCTCACCCCAGCCTCCCAAAGTGCTGGGATTATAAGCGTGAGCCATCATGCCCAGATATATACTGTTAATAGAAAAATGTTCAATTTTTTTCTGAAAATTTTCTAATCTTTATTAATAATTAAGCATTTTAATCATATAGCTGAATTTAATGTTATAGTCCAATAATCTATTAGCAAAAACAGCTACTTTACGTATTTTATTCTCAGAATACAGAGACAGTAACATTAGGCCTATAGTAAAAGAACACTTTAAAATTAACCCCAAATATCATTAATAAAAGCAAACTACATTCCTTACTCTTTCTTTT